TAAATGCTCCAACCGAAACAAAAATTATTTTTCAATTCGAATCCGTAGTTCCTGAATTTAGGGTTTAGAGTTTCACACAAACAAACAAACTCTTCAGCTTATATATATATTAGAAGTAGTAGTATAATTTGTGTGTAGCAGAAAGATAGTGGCACAGGTTGACATCTTTCTGCACTCACACTTATTTATCTAGAAAAATCTATACTATATTTCATACTAAGGTACAGTTTATCACAACCAGTCTGTATGCGCCACAACTCTCACAAGGCATCCCGCTTGGTCTTCTGAGCTCTTGTCCTTCATTTGCTACCATTCTTTGCATAATCGTCGTTATTATATCGTATCTAATGGGTATTTTCTATTCTATTGCCACTTAACCACCGATTTTGGTTGTTATGTCAAACACTTTGCGTATTTAATAGATGCGTTTATTATGAAACTTCATTTAATTAAAATTAGACATTACTCAATATGACATTATATTCAATTCGTTCTCATTTGTTACAATATTTGCAAATTATGTTTCTTAGAAATCTTCGGTTTTCTTTAGCCGGAGCCGAATACGAACTATCCAACACTAGAAGCAACCAATGTATGGACGTCTAAATAGTTGAGATTGGTATCCAATAATATTGAATGCACAAAGCCGCACATAGCTGTAACTATACCATCGTTGTATGTTGGTTATATAGGCTCCTGTTCTAACGACATATCCCACAATTAACCAATTCAAATACACAGTAGAAATTCAACCAAACCAAAACCAAATAAACCAACGAGAATGGTTTGTTGTCCGGTCAGTGAGTGAATGTCAGTTGAGTCCTATCAAGTTTCTGGAATACGAATTTTAATACTAAAATATGTATAAGGATCAGTAAGAATTTATTCACTGGCACAGATAAATTTTACATAATGTAATTAGAAAATAACAATTATAATATAGTAATATTTTATCTGTGGTTTAACTAAAATACTTTAATTGTTTAAATTGCGAAATATGTCACTTAATTTTATTTTAACTATGGTTTTGCAGCAGTAGTGTAGACAGGGGGTTGTATCCCTTATGTCAAAGTCAAAATTTGACGTCGACGTTAGGGCGGTAGTTAAAGTATTTTATTTAAACTTTGGATTCGTAATTATGACGAAAAATTACGATTTGATTTGTTGCTTAGCATTACCTTCAGCACGAGAGGTTCCAGGTTCAAATCCCAGGGGAGACAATGAATTGTTTCAATCGGGCTTTTCTACATCTTGTCTATGACTAAATCGGTTAGTTGGACACCCTTGCCCCATGCCCCGCTGGGTGAAAAACCTTAGTATACGAATAGATGATTTGTTATATATGTGTGTACACACACATGCGTGCGTGAATATACGTGCGTTAAATTTCTCTGTAACTGTGTTTATAGGAGACCACAGACTAAGCTTCTATGCACAGTTGTCTTTGAATCCTACAAGTTTGATTAGAACGCAATAGAGCTTGTGTTTTAGCTGACCATTGCATAGTGAATATCAAACCCAATTCCTTTGATGGCTACAGCTACGTGCATTTAATCTCTGTTAAGTGAATAATTTTGTGGACTTGTTAATTGAATGGTGACCAACGAGTCGTGAGTCCTAATCTTCACGGGTCTAGCGTGTTTCTAAATGATATTTCGAATTTGAAGATATAAGGCTTTATATGATGGAAAATTCACACTTTAAAGGTTGGAATATAGATTTCAAAAAGTCACAAATTACTTTTAAAAGGTAGATTGGTGTTGTATATCAAATCAATATATTGTGTTTTAGTGTCAGTATGTCTAAACTAAAAGATCCCCAAAATATATTGTTTTGGACACGAAGAAATCTCACCATCGTATAACTCTTTAAATATAAACGAATCGTTTTTTTGGCGAGTACACATTTAAATAAAACATTTATAGCGTTTATTTATTTAAACTACAGCGTTTCAGATTCTTTGCAGCAGCCGAGGTGACGGGGGAATAAGCTTACTTCTATATTTCACGTTTTAATCCGTTAAAATTGTTTTATTTAAATGTGTATTACTCGCGTAGGCTAAAGATAGTAAGATTGTATTGTACGGATTTTCTATTGAAATCTAATCAATCTATCTAACAACATCTGTTAAAATACTTTTCACGATAACCCGGAAAATTTAACTTCCCGGAACATTTTCAAACACATTTCCACGAACGGACGGTCGAGCTTTCCACAGAGTAGTTTACTATTTACTTGTTCAAACCTTGTTTCATCTAATTGTTCCAAAAACTATCAATCAAAGAGAATAGAGGATGTTGAATGATGTATTACTTAAGTAGTATTATTTTTACAGCTAAGGTAGAAACCAATAGTTTGTTAGTATATTATACTCGTAGCTTTGTTTGTATTTAGAATAAACCAGAGCAGAGTTTGCAGTAAATTATAACTTTTTATTTTTATCTACATACCCGCATATAATAATATGCACTGTATATTGTGTTCATTAAATATAATAAATGACTTAAGCATTTATGGGGAATAAATTGTAATTATCTTTCGTTGACATTGGCTTAGACTGGCGGGAGATGACGAGAGGTCTCGAGTTCGAAATCAGGGGACACATTTATTTGTTTGTGTAGGGCGTAATATAGCAGGAATTAATTTATGAGTGATACGAACACAAATGAGTTTAACTCCACACGGGGAGGATTTGAACTTTGTTCCGTGTTACTCTAACCAATTAGCCACCGTGTCTTACACGTCATGTTCGATTTATTTCATCCTATTGATACATGCACCTCCCGCGCATTGTAATCTATAATCGATTTTTTATTTGTATAGCCGCCGTCTTGTAAATATATTAAAGTTTTCGAACAAATGTGTTCGTCCCGTGACCAACGGGGGAAAATATTATATGAAATATTCAAATTTAGAACGCTACTTATCTCAGTCCAATTAATTCAAGTGCTACTTAAACTTAAAAGTTTTTGCCTAAATCCCTAGGAATGCCAAAATTTACAGAGATAAAATTCTCTTTTGAAGTTTTTCAGTAATTTTATTAAATTACATAAACCAGGCTTGCTTCTATTACGTATGATAATCGTGGAATCTTATCTATATACTGGCTTATCCGGGAAACGTTGTTTGCAAGAAACGTATTATTATGTTGATACAACTCTAATAATAATGAATTCTTTTTGACCAAATTTGATCACCATAAAATAGTACTTGTGAGTTAATCTTAAAAGATAGACGATACGTTTTTCCTTACATATGTTTACAATATTAATTTAAGTAAGTGCAGGGTACTCTAATGGGCTCGGATTCGATTCGTCAGTCCTTTTTTAATCCTCCAAGAAAAACAAACAAATTAATATTTGAAGAGGGGCTCCATACATTTAATTTCAAATTTTAAACTTTTCTATTATTACTCAGTACCAATTAATAATAACATTTAGGAACTACATTTACTAAATTAAAAAAAACTAATTAAAAAATAGGTTACAATACTAAATTAACAACTTTTTGTAGTATACGAGAGTAGTTCACATTTAAATAAAATACGTTAACGGTTTAAATCGCGATATATATTAGTTAAACTTATTTGGAAATCCTTTTAATTACGGCGTGACGTTGCCCCTCCTCATCTTTAGTCTTCCCGTGACCACGGCAGCAGCAAAGCATCCGAAACGTCAGGCCATAGTTAAAATAATTTCCAAATAAATTTAACTTTTATGTTATTGTTTGGTGTTTTATTTAAATAGTTTATATATGTGATCGGAACCGTCAAATTCGCACTTCGTCTGTTTCATTTTATAATGCATGATATATTTTTAAAAGAAATTCATCATAAAACTGCTCTAAAGATTCACGTTGATAAGATTTTAAATCTACTTTGCAATCTATGCCCCTAACGAGGTATTAATACGAGAGATGAAACCTTATATTACCCTTTGAATGTAGATGAAGTCATACCCTATAGGTCGCCTGTAGACAGTCTATTGAGAAGGATTTCAATAAGAAATTGATTATTTAATACGGTAGGATTACACTAATACCAGAAGCAGCTTATATTAAAATTAACTAGTACTTCTTCATCCAGATCGAAGTTAATTGGATCGCAAATTGGTCATAATTATTATGGCTCATCAAGTTATTTCCTTTTATTTGCTAAGCCTTCCTTTATTAAGATGGACTTAAGGATTGTACTGGTAATCGATTTAAGAAGAACCATTGTATAAGATGTCAGAAGTTAGTTACAGTTTGCATCTCTTTGTTTTTAACGAGTAACTGTTGTGATGTTCTAATTCTAGAAGTATTACCTTAATAACCTTAAATAATTTAATAGAAGTATATTTTAAGTAATATACTGATATTGTAAAACTGAACAGTTCGTTTGTTTAAACACGTTGATCGCAGGAACTATCGGTTATAATTGAAAAAAAATATTTTTGTGTTGTATATACCGTTTATGGAGGAAGACTTAGGCTATATATATCACGATGCGATTAATGGAAGCGAAAAACTTATGGAAAAAAAAAATGTAAAATTATTTATCTTTCAGGGCTTCCGTTGCACGCTTGAAACAATTCAAGAAACCATAAAATATGTATGCAAGAATGATTTTTCTTTAAATGATCTAAAAAAATATCGCAGACTATATTTTACTATTACCTCGCTAAAGCCGTATTTATAATCAAATTAGATCGACAATAATGAATTGTCGTCAATTATTTGTTAGACTTAAATCAATACAGTATTAATCCTGTCAATGTTCACGACGAATTATTGCTTTTATTAAACAGTTTTATTTAGCTCGACCCGTACGGAGTTTATTAATTTGGGTCAAAATTAGAAATTTATATTTAAGCACCTTCCCGTTGTGAGATTGATCTGAAATTTGGTACACACATTTAATTTAGATGACAATACAATATAATAAAATGAAAAACATTATAAATCCAAGATGGCCGCCGATACAAAATGGCGGATTACATATTTCTCCTTAACCCCTCAATATGGGTATGAAATGAAAGGGCTACACTAGTAAAACACGATGATTATGTGAAAATTGAAAAAAAAGTTCTGTGCACAAAAAATAAAACTGTTTAACTTAAAAGTTTTTAAGTTGATACTTGTTTTAGTAAAACTTTTAATAGGAAAGAAATGTCGCGCACGAATATTCACGTGTTGTGTGATTTTAAGAGTTTTCAATACAGTTATTTCTCTTTAAGTTGTTGAGTAGTTTCGCGACCTCAGACCGTGTGCTCTTTCGTGTTTAACTTTTAAGTAAACAAATCGTAAAACGTTAAATGTATTCGTTTTTCTTAGCGCTTTGTTTTTATTATTAAACAATTAAAGTAACTTATAGAACATAATTTTGGTAAACGATTACACGTGTTGCCTAGCATTGCGTCGAACGCGAGAGATTTTGGGCTCGAATCTTAGGCAAGCAATAGATAGTTTCGGTCAGGCAGGGCACAGAAGTCTAATTAACTACTTGCCTTTAGAAACCTAGGAAAGGGACACACAACTTTTTAAACGGTATTACATCATCATGCTGGATTGTTATTTTTTTTTAATATTACTTCGATTACTTATTAAGCTCAATAACATGTTATTGTTGCAGGACTAGAACACAATTTTGAAGAGGAAGAAGGCAGTGACGTGGACCGTGAACTTCGTCCTTTAGCACGACGTACAGGAAAACACATAGCGGCAGGAGAGGAAAGACCTAGAATCAATTCTAGTCAACAAACGACCCCCACTGAAGGTGAGTTTCTAGAAGTGGAAATGTTAGTTAGTCTAGCAGCGTTGTGGGCTTTATAAGGGGTAAATAATACATGTTCAAGGGCCCAGTTTTGGTGCCAGAAGGGGTCACATAGTCGTGGTCAAATTTTTTCATAAAAAACGTAAACGTACAGTTAATTTACGTATATTAATAAAACAATTTATTAATGTTATGCGAATTTTTAATAAATTAATAAAATGCACAATATTAATAATGTTTTTACTTCTGCCGGCTACACCAGAGTGAAGAGTTACTACTAGACTAATCTCAGGAACTACGGGCTCGATTTGAGAAATTCGTTTTCGTTAGAGTATTTATCGAGAAAGGCTATAAAATATCGCGCTGTGAAATGTGACCAAAACGGGGGATATTTTTCATCTCTGTGGGTTTCAGATGCGTCCGCTGCGAAAACGGTTCAAGTCACCCAAAAAATATGTATAAAAGAATGATTTCTCTTTAAGTGATGTAAAAAAATTTTCGCGGCACTATAATATGTCTATCGTGTATGATTAACTTGTTAGACGACGGGACTCGAACGACGGGACGCGACCGATGTCGTGGGTAGCTTAAATTTATAAAGGTGTAGAGGTTTGCAAAAGCAAGTTTGGAAGTCCAAAATAACTTTTCTACGCGGACGAAGTCACTGGCACAGCTAGTAATTCATAAAATTAAAATGTGTCATCGATTCGTTGTGAAAATATTTTATCTTGATTATTCGGAGAACTTAAATCTACCTCTGTATCGTGTAATAAATTGAATTATGCAGGAGCATTTTCGCATTTCATTAACGTGCCCATATAATTAATAAAATATGTATGTAGGCTTTTTAATTACTGAACTTTGGCTCAAATTCCTCTCGAAATTGCGTGGTTGTTCCGGAATGATCTAATGGACAAAATTTACTGTCACTATTAATAGAATCAAGTGTCGATCATGTGGGGCATGGGACAGACATCATTTTGATCTACTGGGCGCTTTTATTTACACGCAAGATATCGATCAGGCCTCTGTGCCTTTCCTGAACTAATTTATTATGCTCCTTAAACACATGTTTGGACCACAGCATCGCAATTTCACACACGAACCGCCATTTAATGATGAAAAGCCGACATTTGTAAATTAGCATTTTGATTTCGGCAGCTCGGCAGTTCGACAGCGCATTTATCTACACTAATGTGTAGCTAAATAGTTTGTTTATTTGTTTGAACGCGCTAATCATTGGAACTATTGGGTCGAATTGAAAAAATGATTTTATGTAGGATAGCCCAATTATTGAGGACATCAAGTTGCGACCAATAGGAGTAAACAAACAGGGATATGTGCAAAAAAAACGAGTAAAATTATTCACCTTTGAGGGCTTTCATTGCGTGCGCTGCGAAAACGGTTCTAGAATGCAAAAATATGTATGAAAGAAGGATTCTACTTGTTTAATCTATCTTTCAAGATTAACTTGTGATAACAACGGGACGCGGTCGACGTAGTGGGTAAGGTTTTTTGCAAAAAGAGATTACATGATGCCCAAAATAACTATTCCACGCGGCCAAAGTCGTGGTCGCAGCTTGTTATAAATAAAATACATTCAAAAGACGTAAATGTATTGTTGAATACGAGTAAGCAATATAATCTACTTTATAAATATAGAATTTTAAGAGGCTTTGAATTCTACACAACTACAGGCTACTCTAATGCAATTACAAAATAAGTTATGTCATGTGTGTTGACGTAAATAGTTTTACATTTTAATAAAATGTATTTGCGTTTGTGTTACGTATTATAGTTTTACTTCGTATTACATAGCTGAAAAAATTTGAGCTACACGATTATATCTAGCGCACAGTAGCTCAATTACTAGAGCAAAATTTTATGGAATGGTTGGCATATATGGCTAGTAATCGAGGGGTCGTGGATTCTATTCCCACGAAGTCCAACATGTATCTAATCAATTTATTATTTTTCTGAAACATACTGATCTTTGTCTCGCAATCTTCATATTAAACGGGTGGCAGGAATAGAAAATTCGGTTTCAGTCTGGGGATTCCCCAATTTGGCGAATAATAAAGCAAAAATAGGGCGTCACCACATTTTTTCAAGATAGTGTGTGACTTGGTTATTTCGCCTTCCATCAAGTGATGCTCGTCTCTTCTCCTCTAACTAAAAAATCAATTACTGATAATTATTATTTTGCTCTCATTTCTTAGCTTGTAACTATTTTTAAATAGAACACTTTTCATGGTTTAAAACGCGATATATTAGTCTCCCTGTGACCACGGCTGCTGCAAAGCATCCGAAACGTCGGGCCGAAGTTAAAAATCATTTTCAAATAAGTTTAATTAATATATCGCCTTTTAAACCGTTAAAGTGTTTTATTTAAATCAATACATTTGCGTTAGACGTGTTATTGTTAAATGTGTAACTCACGTAAACTACAAAGATTAACCTGTACCATTCAATTTATAATGTTTCAAAGCTTTGATTCTGTATTCTAACAACCGTGATGCGATTTGTCAATATATTCACGTTTACAGTGGCGCCATCGAGCCATGTAAATTAAATGACGCTGGGCAAGCCGCGCTTTTGCGTTTTGTTTTTGCCTTTAAGCGGCACCGCCGTTTGTAGCTTAATTTTTTAACTTTGTACCGTCCAAACGCCGTGTGGCGTGAAACGTATTTTGCTATACGCCTCTGTGATGACAGGCGTGGAAAAAGCGTACGTCAACGGCAAAGCGTAATTCTAATGTTCTATTAGTCTTTGTATTTTATACATCCAAATGGGTAGAACGTCCATCTTGTTTAGAACTTATATGGCTGGGGTTTCTCACTTACATGTGAACAACATGCTTGTCTAACCTCCTATATATAAAAAAGAAAAATCAATTAACAAACATAAGCTCGATTGAAGATTAAACTCCAGCTATATATCTATCTGTGTCAGCGACTACGTCCGCATAGAGTAGTTATTTTGTGCATCAAATTTGTTATAACAAACCTCCTCCTCACCTTTATAAATAATAGCTGTTACCCACGATGTCGACCGCGTTCCGTCGTTCTTGCAAGTTGGTCCTTAATAAAAATCTAATCGGTTTTACTTTTTGTGCTCTGAAAACTAAAAAAAGAATTAAATTTTGACATAATCATCGTGTTTTACTAGCGTAGCCCGTTCATTTGATACCCATATTGAGGGGGTTATGGAAACGTATATAATCCGCCATTTTGTATTGGCGGCCATCTTAGATTTATAATGTTATCGTTATTGTTTATAATCTGACAACGGGTAGGTGCTTAAATTTTAATAGTTAAAAACATATATTGATGCTAAACCTTAGATGCAGTAAATCTTTCATATATATTTTTTAATTTCTAGAACCGTTTTCGCAGCGTACGGCAACGGAAGCAAATTTTCTCCGTGTTTTCCACCTTTACATTCGTTTCTGTTCATTGATTGCAACGTAATGTCCTTTTATTGATCTATCCAGCACAAAAATAATTTTTAAATTCGAACTAGCTAGTAGTTCCTGAGATTATTGCGTTCAAACTAACAAACTCTTCAGCTTTATAATATTATTATAGATATCTCATTTCTTATTACAATGATGTATTTTCAGGCACCGAAATACCTACATATTTATTTACGTAAAATGTTCATACGTACGTCACATTGTTTTTTCAAGACGGCGTTTGTTTTGATTGACATGGGTTAAATGTGGTCTTTTCCAACTTTTTAGCTTTCAAAGAAAGAAAGATTTGTCTATTACAGAAGCGTTATTGTCTTTCCTTTGTTTTATTAGCATATTTTTCCTTAATGAAATTAAATTCCTTTTAGGACTTCATATTGTTTGTAATTCGCAGGCTGAAACATAAACCGAGAATCAACTCTACCGCTTTTTGACTTATTCATTAAATTTTCGATATTCTTACCACTAGCCGCTTAAAAAAATGTTTCTAACAATAATAATAATTCATATCTAACACAAAAAGATTGTTTCAAAGCAAACCAGTATTAGTTCCTGAAATTAGCACCTTCAAACAAACTAAACCTACGGCTTTATAAAATTAGCATAGATAGGTGCTAACCTATGTATGTATGTAATGTTATAGTAGTGTGTAGTCACATAGCTATATATATAATACGCCTTCCTCGATAAATGGTATATCTAACCCAAAATTCTTCAATTCGAACCAGTAGTTTCTAATAATTCAAATAAATAAAGTGTTTAGCTTAAAATATTGGTATAGATAAGCACATAGTTATAAAGCCTTTCCTGATAGATGGTCTATAAAACTTCACTTCGAACCAGTACTTGAGCTTTATAGTATAAAGTAGTCGTATAGATAGGCGCTACACGTAGGACAGGGTTTTTTATCCCCCGCGTTACTGAGCAATTAAACTGTTGTTGTTGATAATCAATTTTGACTACAAAGATGAATGACTGGGATCGTAATGACGTTAGAATGGAAAATTGCCAAGCGGGGGGGCTGCAATCAAGGTAACGAAGTTACCACAGTTATTATTAACTTACTTGGTAGATGATTGTCGCCGTGTGCTGTGTGTTAGAATTAATGCTCCATAGGTCCGATTCTTGTTAAGAGATATTTTTGGAATTCTTAATTTAAACGAATATATAAAGCATAAAAACAAACAAACCCTTTGTTTGTACGCGCTAATCTCAGGAACTACTGGTTCGAATTGAAAAAATATTTTTATTACATAGACCATCTATCGAGGATCTTTTTGTGTTGCTTAGATAATTTATTAAGGAAGGCTTTAGGCTATAAAATATAGCGCTGTGACTAACAGGGGCGAAGAAACAGCGGGAAATGTCGGAAAAACGGGGAAAATTATTCATCATTGTGGGTTTCCATTGCGTACGCTGATGATGATTCCTCCTTAAATGATATAAAAATATGTCCGCGACACTGTATGTCTATCTTTTAAGATTAACTTGCAAGAACGACGGGACCCGAACGACGGGTCGCGAGTGTCGTGGGCAGCTTAAATTTATAAAGATGTAGAGGTTTGCAATAACAAATTTGGATACCCA